TTTTTAATATACAATTTCTGAATATACATAAGCTTTTTTATTACAAATATTTAAATAAATAATGTACATACAATATTCGCATAACGGCGCATTTAATACATCCCAGAAAAAGATCTAGCTGTATCATTACCTATTACAATAATTTCGTAACAATAAGGAAATTATGTGTATAATTTTGACGTCTTTTAATCGCGTTCTCGAAAAGAAAGTATAGAACTTGTTCAACTGAACGGGAAATTAAATATTTCATACTTGAACGGAACACAACAGGTAATGCGAACAGTAATTGTAGCGGTAATTATGCGGTAGCATTAATAGTTCACCGCGTCTCGAATAACACGTCATACAAATTACCATTATGTGCTGTAAGTTTCGTGTTTAAATACATTAGATTGTATAAACTTCCCTTCCCGTCGACGAAAACGACTTGGAAATTCCGAGATTAAATCGCAGCTCCTCTAAAATAATAGTCTAATCGATCGGCGACTCGTACTAAAGTTACGTTAGACTTTCATTTAGTTACAACACATTTATAATGTTCTTTCTTTCTTTTGTTCTATCAACTTATCGCGCGAGAAATTTACATCCGAATATTTGTCAATTATAATTTATTTATGAACATGTTTGAACGCAGTTTCATCGTCATTCATTAGCGTCTATAATACATTAATAAATCCTTATATAATGTATTTTCTTACTCGATACCTTAACGAGTATTATCTATTAAAAATCCTCGCAAACGCAATTCTAGAAACAGAATACAATTGTCTTTTTATTTGACTCTGTCTGTTATATCAATTTATATTATATATATGTACATGTATACTTTTGATACATACATACATATACATGTAAAAACTTGTATTTGTTAATATAGAAAAATATGTTGAAATTATGTTTCGGACGAGCGTTTAATAACAATTATTCATTTAATCGTTAAGGGACCAAAAGGAGTTATAACATTTGATTCCGATTTTCTTGCTGTAAAAAGCGATCGATATGCCACAGAACGCCTTCCTTTACTTCCCTCAATGTCACGGAACTTGTCAGAACCATTCACGTTACTTTATTACGTTCTCGTACGAAGAAACTCGATATTCTACCGCATACATACGTTTCCCGTGTTGAAATTCCATACAAATCTGATCGAACGATTTCAATTACAAACTGAACCGATTAGTATGAACAAGAAGAAGCCGCGATCGTACGATCGTGGAAAAAACGAATATATCATTTATCGTTATGTAATAGCTTTCATAACATTAACGCCTACAGACTGCTAGGATTCTATACCGAGTTTTCTGTAAGTCTCCCGGTCTACAGTGACTAATCTACCTTCAACGCTAGAACAGTCTAGCTCGATGCAGTGTAATCTGGCACCCCATTCGCAGTGGCTCTGATCATCTTGCCGGTAGTACTTGATCTGCAAACAAGTGCTGAGATAACCGGAGCCCAGGACACGCATGGCAATGGGCAATTCTTCACGGTGGCCACGAGAACTCGCAGGTATACCCTTCGTGCTGTGATAAGCACTGTAGGCACAAGCTGTCCCGTCTCGTGCACGCTCGATCGTTTCCACTTGTTTACCACCAATGCTGAGGGATCTGCAAATTTATTAGGGTTCCATACAATTACTATGTATCTTTAAAACAAATTAGAAAATAAAATAGGAAATTTATTGATATATCAATTTCAATCGTGTAGGATGTAAATCTGGTCTTCCGTAGTAGAAGTAGAATTACGTCAATCTAACTCGCCTAATTGAAATCGTCTTTGTGGAAATTAGGAGCGTAAGGAGAAAGGCTAACTAGCTTAATTTCGCAGAGGGATTCTCTGTGACGAACAGGAAAATTTGAAAGTCTATCGAAAGAGTAATTGAATCGGGCACTCTTTAGTCGCGATTGTAGCCAGGCATCGAAGCAGGTCTGATTTGATCACAAATCGATAGGCCCGATTCGTGTCTACAGTCTACGGTAGGCGACGTTTACAGAACCGTACTTCAAATTCATTTGCATCTTCGTTCGGTCCGGCGTTCGAGATTCTGAACCTCGTTTCCGGGCCACTATTGTGCACCGGCTGGCATATATCGCGTAACCGCAGTCGTTTACAAAATAGTCGCAGTAGACCCTGTGTCGTAAATTGCCGAATTTTACCTTTATTTCGCTTTTTATCACACGTAACGACCGCTATTGTGCAGGACGTGTGCGCTAATTATATAAAACTAATTTTCACGCGTTTGTGTGTTGAGAACAAGCAGACAGTTAATTAAAATCAATGAATCACGCAATATTATATTTAAACTCGTTTATAAATGTTTAATACAATTGGATTTAAATCCAGTTATTATGCGAAAGACGTATGTTTCAGAGATTGTTGTGTTTGCATTTTAGTATACCATTTGAAAGATATTTTATTGCTACGAGCGGACAATAAAAATGTAGAATTCAGTGTCCTACATTCATAAAATTTATTCGACTCCGATATCAATTTTTCTACGGCAGTGAATTCAAAGAGTGCTCCCGATATCGTTCAATCAAACACAGTTCCATTTAAATCTCAGTTTGTTAATCACTTGAATGTATTTATAATGTCCATGGACAATTTATATTTCCGGTATATTGTTATAAAATGTCACGCCAGCGTACTTCTACACAAAGTATACTCGTTTGGATGTCATGGTTGCCCATAAATTTAATAATACAAGAATTTTATTCGTTTTATTGTTACGAAATACTTTTGAATTAATTTTAATTGAAAAGTTTTCTCCGAACGCTTCTTACGTTCATACACAATCAAGTAAATTTGCATTGTTCCGAGAAAACATAACGCTGCTCCTATAAATGTATAAATTCGAGCACGATGAACGTTTATAAATATTAATACATCGCGCATAATAACTGCGACGAGATTTGGCATAACTTCAACGCTTGTGTCGAGTATTTTTAGTGTTTCCCAGGAGTGAAGCGAATGCATGCCAATGAACCCTACGCATATCAATGTCGAGCATCACTCACGTGTTTCAAATGAATTCTCGTGACGCAAAAGCATATATAATTATTCGCTGAAGCAAAGTTGACTTGATTTTCCGTAACAGAAAATAAACTTACGATTAATCATTCAAATCGTGACACAGTGATTATTATTAGCTGGAAGGAATTTTGTAAAAATGCATGCTTCTGCATTACTGCAGTCTTAACTATGTGGAGACGTTGCCTAACTTTAGGAAGATGATAAATAAGAGTAGAGGAGAATTTGAAGAGATGCATCATATTTTATCATCTTGAAACGTCGTCGAAGTCGAAGTTGCAAAACTGCTCCGATCGAAGAACGTTCAAATTGTATTTCGCCTTAAGTTCGGATGCAAGGCGCAAAGAATTCTAAGCAAACAATCTACCAAATCGTGCTCTCAAAAGCGAATCTAACTTTCAGTGTCCGGAAAGTATTTTCATCGCGCACCCCCGCGCGTTGCAATATTCAAGGCAAAGTTTACAGTTTCGAGCCCCAATAAAGCTCCCGTTGCCTTTTCGCGTCACGCGGAACGCCGGCAGATTGCTCGAGTCAATAAGAAACGTTCAAAGCCGCGCTACTTAAATATTTAAAATGGGCCTCGACTGCCTAAGCCCGCGACGAAATCGTAAAGTCGAGATTCGCATTCGCGGCACGGCGACGGCTATGCTACTCGTAAAAGTCTGTTCGTGTGTAAAAGTAAAAGACAGACTATACCTGGTAGCTTTCTGGGGCAATGCATTCGAAACATCGCCGTCGACGCCACCGTGACGTCGATCAATCGCAGATTCGTTTTAACGAAATAGCCGATACGAGTATCTGATACCAATCCAAGCTGAAATGCAGCTTCCCGATGACGAGCTACGAATAATATCTGAAGTTACTACGCGTCGTCGGTCGATCGAAGATACGTAACGTATCGTACATTTGAATTTTCTCTTCAGTTTCTTATTCAGAAAACCTCGAGTGGTTTTGGAACTAAAAGTACAGAAAGACTGTTTTCAAACTTAATAATATCGTAAAAATTTTCTATTTTCCTTTGTTCTGTTGGATCTTTGTGAAATACAAGGGAGGTATTATAGCTAATGGCCAAAGTTGAAAAAGAAACATAGGTAAAGATAAGGTTGGAGATACATATGCCTGATAAGTAACAACAGGTTGAAACACGCCCTGTCCTATTTAAAACTTGTAAGAGAAAACGAATGTAGGATACACTGGTATGTAACATAAAATTGAATACCACATTCGTAGATACGAGAAGTTATTGCACAATACATAAAAAATCGTCCCACTGCGTAAAAATTAATTATATGTCAATCGTATGTTGCCTTTTAAAAATTGTAAGATCTAATCGTCTGATTGATCTCGAACAGTTGGATAATAACTAATTCAAAGATTCGCGTGCGAGCTTCCTTGGCGAAATCGAACCGGAGTGCAGCCACGGTGTCTCCGCTTTAATGACCGTGATACCGTTCCGTTCCATCCTTGCGATTAGACTGCTTTCACATTCGCCACACTGCTCCAGTAGACTTTTCAACAGGGGAGGAAAAACAGCGATGTGGAAAAAAAGGGAAGTCGTATTGAAAATAATTCCTCTGACAAACTCGGCAGAATGGCTCTCTTCTGTTTTTCTATTCATGGAACTCGGTTCTTTGTTCGCGAACAAGTATCGTACACTCCTTTCTTTACACTGTCTCCCGTTGCAGGTTTCCATCCCTCTCTGATGTAGACCAATTTTCTTCGATACGCATAGCGGCGCAAAGCGTTCATTCAACACTTTTAAGATCCTGTTTCCCGCTTTCTAACAGATAAGATTAGAGGGTGATGGTATACGGTGTGCAATATCGCCGGGAGTTTTATAGCTCTCGATTTAAAGCGAAAATTCTTCTCCGTGTTAGCTTTCCATTCTCCTACGTACGTTCCGCAATCCAAACGAAGTTCGCGCACTATTTTTTTAAAAGATATATACCTACCGGAACTGGAACGGTGACTTTGATGGATCGCAGGCAATCTTGGAGAAACTGTATTATTTTCTCTTCCGTGAGATCGTCTTGTTTGTAATTTGAAGTGTCTCTCGACTAGGCTTCGGACATTCCACAAGCGTCCCCCGGTTGAAACTTTAATTAATTCGTCAAATTGTTTCCAGTTATTGTTCGCTTTGCGACCTAAATCGTTGGGGGTGCTATTACTCGATGCAATTTGGTTGCCAACGATTCAGACCGGTCTATGACATCCATTTACATAGTTGTAGTTCCATTCGTGAACGTCGCTAGACTTATTACTTATGCTCGAGCCAATTACAACTTATTCGCTTTACAATTTGCTTGAAGTGTAATTGACTTTTTACCGATGCTCTGTGTTACAATTTTCCTAATTTATATTATTCAAAGGCTGTTGCACAAAAGTAGGCCAATAGGTTTCTCAGGCTCGTAACATCTCCCTTGACACTGTACAACCGACGTTCTCTCGCATCGTTTTTAAAGCTAGTCCATTACCCAGCGAACTTTTTACAAAACGTTTCAACAAGTGTGTATAATTGAAGGCTTCGTGTTTATTAATGTCACAACAGAAAGGTTTCATTCCATCCCGTAATTTATTTACAAACTTATTTACGCGTAAAAAATTCCCGTTTATCATTTAATATGCTTGTACATACTCAAACCGAAGAAATAGTATGAATTTCCGACGGTGGTCTCCAATTAGCGAATTTAGCTGCGCGAGTAATGGAGAAGAATAGTAAGATAGAAAACGACCAAGGTCTAGAACGGAAGCTTTCCTTTGAATAGCAAGCTGTCTGCGGAACAAAAAGCCATTCACGATCTCCTACTTTCAGCCCATTTCCTTCCTTTTCTTCTTTCCTTACTATTTTTTCTTCTCACGAAATGCAGATACTCAGTTAACATCGAAACACGCGAGCGAAATCAGACTCTCGGAAAATACCGATTTCTTTCGTTTTAAATGTAAATGGAAAAAAGATTGAGGATTAAATTTCCAATTTTCCTGATTTTTTAATTATTATGGCACTGCCGTACTAAGACCTATTGTGTTTTTCTCTCCGATTTCTTAGAGTATAAGGATCTTCCAAGTGACTACAAATTCTCCTGCCATAGCACAGGCTTTGGCGTATTAAAAGGAAGGATTGAATTTCGAAGGGAAAAATCTTAAGGATGTATTGGCTATACAGTCGATCCTAAAAGTTTATGCACTTTAGAAACGCATTTTTTAAAAAGAAATCAGATGTCGGAAGAACATTGCTAATAATAAACAACAAAA